AAAAAAAAAAAAACAAGTCTCTTCGACCAGCAAAACAGCCAAAGCCACTTAATACGGCAGTGCTGGATTAGAAGTCGAATTAAAACGCAAGGCAAACGAGGCCCGAGGAGAAGACAAAGGTAAGCAAGGCACCCACCGTGCGGAGATGGGGGGAAGGGAAGAAATGAAGATGGAAACAAAGTGCGGCGCAAGGCAAGAAGAGCGCACAAGGGTGGCGCCCCATCAGCACGATGGCAGGTGGCGGCGCGTGGGCAGCGATGAAGGAGGACACCGAGTCCGCCCAGCCTCACTAAGCCACGACAACGGTAGCCGCACATTGTCATTGTGCACGCAGCCTCTCCCTTTAAACGATGCGAGGAGTTCAGCACGCATGCAGTAACCCAAACGTCAGCCACTGCGCGCTGAAAGCGGCACGGAAGGAACAGCTGCCTCTCCCTTCCGCCGTGGGCCCTTGGGCGGCCGTGAAACACACCCGGTCGCAGAGTGACAACGCCTACGTGGCACAACACATGAAAGGGCAGGCTTTGTGGTCGCCTAGCTGGCATGCAAGGGCAGGGCAAGAAGGGAAAGAAGTGGGAACAAGAAAAAACGATGATGGGGGCGCACATGAGCACACCGAGCGCCGTCAGACAGACAAAAAAAAAAAACAAGTCTCTTCGACCAGCAAAACAGCCAAAGCCACTTAATACGGCAGTGCTGGATTAGAAGTCGAATTAAAACGCAAGGCAAACGAGGCCCGAGGAGAAGACAAAGGTAAGCAAGGCACCCACCGTGCGGAGATGGGGGGAAGGAAGAAATGAAGATGGAAACAAAGTGCGGCGCAAGGCAAGAAGAGCGCACAAGGGTGGCGCCCCATCAGCACGATGGCAGGTGGCGGCGCGTGGGCAGCGATGAAGGAGGACACCGAGTCCGCCAGCCTCACTAAGCCACGACAACGGTAGCCGCACATTGTCATTGTGCACGCAGCCTCTCCCTTTAAACGATGCGAGGAGTTCAGCACGCATGCAGTAACCCAAACGTCAGCCACTGCGTGCTG